GGTGACACATGTGTGGCACATGTGGTGGAGCCTGAGTATCACTGGTGAGAACTCCAGAGGGGGGCTGCAGTAGAGCTCAGCTGCAGATGATGCAAAGTAGGCATGTGGGTACCTGAGTTACAGGTCAATCTCTCCCTCCTCCCATTCTGACAATAACCCAGACCGTACCCAGCTCAGGTGGTGTCCATTGCTATTTAGTATTTCCTTTTACACATTTAATCTTATTCAGTAGCTAGCGTCCAGCTGTTGCCAGAATTGTGGAGAAGTAAAATGCTGATAACAATAAAGACAAGATTTGCCTCTTTCAATCTAACTACACAAACAAGTTGACTCTTACAGGTGAATCTTACTTTCACAGAATCATAGAATGGTTTGTGCTGGAAGGAACTTTAAAGATGATCTAATTCCACCACCACCACCCACCTTCCTAATATCTAATCTATAGCCACCCTCTTTTAGTTTAAAATAATTCCCCCTTGTTTTATCACAACACTCCCTGATAGAGGGTCATTAATGAAGTGATGCCATGTTCTGCCACGATGCCACAGAACTTGCCTTTCCAGGCCCAAGGTGGTGTTTTGGGTGGTAGCATGGCTTACTGGATGTGTTTCCAGCCACCCGTTAGTTGTTTCTACCATGGTGAGTATGTAACATTTGCCTTGACAAGTTTGTGGGAGTGGTCCAGTCCAATATAGTCAATTTGCCTGGCCTCACCATATCAAAATCCTAGACACTGCCCCCTATTCCAGGGAGAACATTACTCTCATGGCTTGCCTCATCGCAGCTCACATGACTTGTGTGATGGCCTTAATGGTGTGTGGCATCCCTCCCCAGATGTCCTGATGTTTCATGGGCCCATCGAGCTACAAGCATCTCACCTGTATGTCCAGGTCCATCTGAGACACTTTAACTTTCAAAGCTCAATCCACTTTTTCATTATTCTGATATTCTTTCATGGCACGACTCTTGAGCATGTGAGCATCTATGTGACACACCTTTATGGCCAGGTTCTCTACCCAGGCAGCAATACTTTGCCACAGAGCAGGTAAGTTTACCTCTGTGCACTACCAGCTGCTCTGTTTCCACTGCTGCAGCCACCCCCACAGGGCATTTGCCACCATCCATGAGTCAGCATAGAGATAGAATACTATCCACTTTTTTCTTTCAGCAATTTTTGGAGCCAGTTGGATGGCTTTCACTTCTGCATACTGACTCAACTCACTTTCCCCTTCCATGGCATCTACAGCTCATAGCAGGGGACTCCACACAGCAGTTTTCTACTTCTGATAGCTCCCAAACACACAACAGGATGTGTCAGTGAATAATACATACTTTCCATCTTCTGGCAACTCATTATATGGTGGTGTTTCTATGGCACAAGTTACACTTTGGTTGATACTCCAAGACTTCTGCCTTCTGGCCAGTCCATGTTCTCTTCCAGGATTCCTGGGCAGTTGGGTTTCCCCAGTTCAAGCCTGCTGCGTAATTAATACTACCCACTTACTCCATGTAGTGTTGGTTGCATGACATATAGTGAGGATTCTCCGTTCAAACTTCCAGTGAAACACAGGTAGCTGTGATGGTACAGAAGCACAGCTCCTGCTTGGCAACTTCTGAAGCAGCTTGAATACCCTCATATGCTGTTAGTATTTCCCTTTCACTTGGAGTGTAATTGGCTTCTGATCCTTGATAGCCCTAGCTCCAGAAACCCAGTGATTGCACCTCGAGATTTTATTTTTTGTTGCTGTTTGTTTGTTTTTCTCCCCCCAGAGGCTCCAGGTGAGGCCATGTTCCCCAGCTGCAGCATACAGCATAAAATACATTTTGCACACTTGATCTTGTATGGACAGGACCAAGGGCTACCGCATGAGCTATTACTTCGTTTGATTTGTTCAAAGGCCTATTTTATCTTGGGGCTCCACTAAAAGTAGTTCCTCTTTTGACTCACTCGATACAGAGGACTCACAAGCTGTCTGTAGCCTGGAACATGCATTCTCCAGAATCCCACAAGGCCTAGGAAAGCTTATGCTTCCTTTTTACTAGTTGACAGAGACAAAACAGTTATTTTGTTGATCACATCTGTTGGAATGTGGCAACATCCTGGCCTGCCATTTTACCCCCAAGAACTGGATTTCCTCTAGAGGTCCCTTGACCTTACTCTATTTAATGGTAAAACCAGCTTTCAGGAAAATTTATATTATTTTCTTTCCTTTCTCAAAAACCTCTGCTGCTGTGTGCCCCATTCAATGATGTCACTGATGTATTGCAGGTGTTCAAGAGCTTCCCCCTGTTCCAGTGTAGTCTGAATCAGTCCATGGCAAAGGGTACAGCAGTGTTTCCACCCCTGGGGCAGTCGATTCCAGGTGTACTAGATGCCCCACCTAGTGAAAGCAAACAGTGGCTTGCACAGTGCTGCCAAAGGGATGGAGAAAAACACATTAGAGATATCATTTGTAATATACCACTCGGCTGCCTTTGATTCAAGTTCATATTGAAAGTTCAAGCGTGTCCAGCACTGCAGAAAGGAGATCTTGACCAAACTAAAACAGATAAAGAAGGCAGACAGAGGGTGGAAACAAAGGCATGGAGCCTAGGAGGGATAGAGATATTGTCTAATCAGCCAGGGATCAGGTTAGGAAAGCTAAAGTCCAATTTGAATTAAATTTAGACCTGAACATCAAGAACAGGAAAGGTTCCTATACGCATATTGGTGACAAAAGGAAGACCGTCAGTGCCACATCTGCTTGGCAAGATCATGGAGCAGATCCTCCTGGAAAATATGCTAAAGGCACATGAAAAAAAAAGGTAATTGGTGACAGCCAACATGGCTTCACTATGAGCAGATCATTGCTTGACAAATCTGGTGGCCTTCTACAATGGGGTTACAGCATCGGCAGATCAGAGAAGAGCAACTGACATCATCTACCCCAGAGGGACTGGCTGGGTTGAGAGGTGGGCCCAAGTTAACACAATGAAGTTCAACAAGGCCAAGTGCAAGGTCCTGAATCTGGGTCAAGGCAACCTCAAGCATGAATACAGGCTGGGTGGTGAGTGGGTTGAAAACAGCCCTGTCAAAACGGGCTTAGGGGTGTTGGTTGATGAGAAGCTCAACAGTAGTCAGCAATGTATGCTTGCAGACCAGAAAGCCAACTGTATCCTAGGCTGCATCAGAAGCATCATGGCCAGCAGGATGACAGAGGTGATTCTCCCCATCTACTCTGTTCTTGAGAGACTACATCTGGAGTACTGCATTCAGCTCTTAGGACCGAGCACAAGAAAGACATGGACCTGTTAGAATGAGTCCAGAGAGTGCCACTGAGGATGATCAGAGGGATAGAGAAGCTCTCCTATGAAGACAAGCTGAAGGAATTGGGGCCTTCCATTACCTAAAGGGGGCCTACAAGAAAAAAGGAGGGACTCTCTGTCAGGGCATGTAGTGACAGGACAAGGACTAATGGTTTTAAACTGACAGAGTGAAGATTTAGGTTAGATATTGGGAATAAATTCTTTACTCAGAGGGTAGTGAGGCACTGGAACAGGTTGCCCAGAGAAGTTAGTGAATAACCCATCCCTGGAAAGTGTTTAAGGCCAGGCTGGATGGGGCTTTAAGCAACCTGGTATAGTGGAAGGTGTCCCAGGCCATGGCAGGCAGCTTGAACTAGATGATCTTTAAATACCCTTCCAAACCTAGACATTCTGTGATTCTATGAAACAAAACCCGACTTCTACATTTTCCACAAAACACCTAAGAAAAGAGAAGTCAATTCTACAAGCTGTTGTTGAAGCTCCATACTTATATTAAAAGTGACAGGTAGTTATTTTTTCCAGAGAAAAGAAATTATAGATAACTTTCAGAAATCTATCCCATATCCTTACTCCAAGGAGAGGTATGGGAGCTAAGCAATTTGTTGGTCAAGTTATACTTAAAAGACTGCAGTATTTTTATGAAATACCAGAGCATCCCCTCCACAGTGAGCAAACTGGTTAAACATCTCAGTCTCATATTCAAGTACCACTAGGTGTTGAATACCTAATATTCAGATATATACTGTTATTCAGGCATAAATAAACAAGAGGCTGAAGGTGCTTAAGCCTTTTTAAGAAGTGGACAACAACGACAAATATACAATTGTCTACTGTGCGTCAGAACGTTGCAGCATGAAACATTGCAAAATTAAGCTAAACCAACATTCAGATAATTTGCCTGTAATATTTTAAACCAGAACGTTTGGAGTAAAAATAAAGAAACTGAAAATCAGTATGGAAGAAGAAATAGCATATGCCAGGCATTACCAAGATTTCTTAAGAGGTGTTTGACTCAAGTGTAAAAAAAATATAAAAAAAATACAGCACAAGTTGATTATTCTTTAAAGATAAATTAAGGACGGGGAATGGGGGAGCGAGAAAAGAAGACTGAGAAAGGGTATAGGTTGTTTTGATTAAATCACTGTAAGTTACAAAATCAAAGGTGACGCATCATCAGAGAACCAGGAGGCACCAGTGTACAATATAGATGCTAACTGTCACTAGAAAAGTAGTGAAAAAAAAATTAAAATCTCAAGCTCTTACAAGGAAGGGCGAAAAAGCAGAAAGGATGCCAATAGAGCCCTCAAAATAAGCATTTGCTGTTGTCTCAAATCCAAAGGCTACCTTAGACATTAAAAAAATATTTTTGACATTACCTCTTGTATCTAACATCTAATTAACATCTAATTTCAATATTAGCTCTCCTGATAAATTCCACAGAACATCTTTTGTTTTGCAAAACAAACACCTTGTCTGGGGAAATGGAACTTGACAGTTCTGACTACCTCTGCTTAAGTACAGTCTTGCTAGACCAAAGAAATGTTAATACTAACTTAACAACTGGCAGCTATCTAAGTACTAGTAAATGTTAGCTCTTAGTTATGCTGTGAAAACATCATGACAGTGTATCAGTTTCACCAAATGTAATAACCTTAAATGATTATGAAAAACAAACACAAAAAATGAACAGCAAAGAGATAGGAATTATCATTTAATGACATCCCAAATTAATAACCAATAAAGAAAACACATTGTAAAGAAGAAAGGTGAAAAAAAATGATTAATAGTTGCAAGAAAAAACACGCACAACTTCAGTTTAGGGAACCAATAAAATATCAATTGTCAGTAGCATTCGGGACAGCATGATTTCAGGCTTGTATCAATTCTTACTCAGTCATGAACACATCCACCTTTGGACACTGCTAGTAAAAATAAAAGCAGCAAAAATGCAGAAATAGTCAGCAGATCCTTTTGATCTGTACCTGAAACAAAATAACAGCTGCATTTAATCTCATATAATAGTAAGGAAAGAAAAAAAAATGTTTGTATTCTTAAGCAAAGAAGCTCTGTGGCACCACTTTGAACAATTAACTTTTTTTGAACAAGTGCCAAAGATTTCACATAGCTTAAACTTAGTCTTAAACTACTCAAAGAGAAACTTGCTTTTGATCCTGTGAGAAACTAACACACTGGTTAATTTGGAGCTCAGTCAACAGAGCTGTAGCAACTATTATCATTGACACTTGTCACGTTAAACTTCAGAAAAAGGCCTCAAGCAAACAAGCTTGTTGTCCTAAGTACATTACAAACGTATCTTCAATGATACAGCACATCTGAAATTACATGAAAGAAATTTCACTCTGTATGACATGGCACCTTGATTAAAAAAAAATCTGCATCGGAAGAAGCTATTAAGGGACTGTTTAAATGCATTAAACATTCTCAAAATGCATTAGTACAAGAAGACAGATGTACTATGCAAGGTTCTGCCATGCTCATCAAAACCATACTCATGCACCACCATATAGTATTATTATCAATTATCAGGATGACTGAAAGATTTTGTCCATGTAATTTACAAAGGATATGAAACTCAGTGCTTCAGTGCATAGCAAACCCATAATCTTAGGGTATGCAATTAAGTCTTTGAGTTGCCATTAGATATTTTGTTACAAGGCTTAATGTAAAGAGCTCCAGGCAGAACTTCTACAGCTTCTGTGTACCCGCATTCAACTACCCTTTTTTAACCTTTATTATAGATTCACAATATTCGCATCCTTAAGAGCCACTAACAAATTTCACCAGAAGTACTAACCTCATGAATCAGAAACTCTAAAAGCACAAAATATAAGATGCTTCACAGGCACCAGACTGTTCCACATCTTTCTGTAACTTCTACAGGATGTGCTGCAGGTTTGTTAGTCCAGACTAAACTCAACTGACAAAATATGCTGCTTTAATTTAGAAAACAGCTTCAAACCATGCCGGCAAGACTGAAGAAAATCTTTTCTTAGCTTGGATCCAGGAAAGCAATGACATAAGAGTTACTATTACACTGCTCACCATTGCATTTTTCCTCCCTTTTCCCCTCTTCCTCCTTAAGGAACTGAGAGAACAGAGTAAATAAAAAGAATCTGGAGCCTAGTATAAGGCAGAGCTTATACCCTAGCTACCTATAATTGGAAATAGCAATCCCATTTCCAGCTAATCCTCTGAGGAACTCACCTGTACTGCTCATGCACAAAGTGCTTTAGGGATTGGTGAAGTGCATGGGTATGTATTTGTATCAACTTGTAGTACTGCTCCAAGTACTAGACAAGCTTTTTCTGAAGCGTCCCAGAACCTGCACACTGCATGAACAACAATCCCAAGCAGCTCTGTGTAATGTGCACTAGGTCTTTCCTTCCCTTTCACTCCTCATGACATGTCATGGTTCTATAGCTTGTTATGGGGCTGACCCAAACAGAGTGGCTTGAAGCTACTTCCTGATCAGTAAACCATACCCCCAGGTAACTCAGGTCAACTCTGTTTCTTCATCCTTGAATACACAGTGAACACGCTCCTCTGCATTGTAATACACCTGACCACAGCGTAGATGTGGCTCCTCCTGCTGGTACCAGAGCTCTTCATTGAACTCTGGGAAGAAGAAGGCAATTTCTCTGCTGGCTGATGCTGGTGAATCTGTTAGAATAGAGGAAAAAGATGAGAGATGATAGTCTTGCACCTCAAAGATGCACTACGTTTCAAACGAAAGGGCAGAATCTGAGGATGTAAAGAAAAGTGCCAGGCTTGGTTGTAACAGGCTAGGTGCACGTGGAATCTGCAAGAGAGATCAAATCATGAATTTTGACACTCCGAACAGAAAGTAAACAAAGGCAGACAGAACACCATCATTCACTCCCCACTGATCTCTAGTCCCACCCAGCACTCGGCCAAGAAAGCCTACCTGAGCCATGAGTGGTATTCCTGGTGTCAGTGAGGCCATAAGCTCCTCGGATGGAATCTGGGACACTGTGTCGGGCTCGGAATACCTTGGTGGGTCCCATCAGGGTTCTCCAGAGGGAGATAGCATTCTCATGGGCCAAGATATAAGCCCACATAGGGCCACTGAGAAAAGGACAAGGAAAGAGCAGAAATAGGTAAGGTTACAACAGGGTATAGCTTTCTCATTCTTATAAATATGACAAGCTCCAAGAAGCGAAATAATGTAACTGCAGCTGCAGTGTTCTCTGAGAAAAGACACAGATCCACCACAACACCAGCAAATAAGACCATGGCTTGGAAACAGACCGTGAGCGTGACCTCCTCCCGGGTGATGGCAACCCAAAACACTGGGGATGCCGTTCCTGCAGTTGATCCCTGCTATCTGCCCACCCCTCAGCACATCACAAGCGCCGTGTGAGACGCGTCCCACGCTGAGGTGGGCCCCTCGGGATGCAGGAATGCTCAGGCGAGACAAGGGCCCGCCTGCTACGCGCAGCAAGCTCCCTCCTGGCGCCCCGCGCTGCCCGCCCGCAGCCGCAGCCGGTACCTGGCCATGAACTCCACCAGCCGCTGGTAGAAGAACCGCCCTGCGGGAGAAAGGCGCCTGGAGTCACGCGGCCCGGCCCAGCGGCCAGGCCCGCCGGCCCCGGAGCCGCGAGCCACCCGCGGGCCGCCTACCCGCGTGCTCCCGGTAGAAGCGGCGGCTCTCCTCCCGCCCGCAGCGCAGCTCCTTGGCGCGCACGATGAGGAACCGGTTACTGAGGATGACCTCGTGCACGGCCTGTAAGGCAGGCAGAGGCGCGGCGGATGGGCGGGCGAGGCGGGCGAGGCGGCCCGGCGCGGGCGGCCCGGCCCCCCCGGCCCTCACCTCCAGCACCAGCGGGTGGGCCACGGCGTCCGGCTTCAGCAGCGCCAGCGTCAGCTGCAGCGGCCTCGCGCAGCGCCCCGCCGCCGCCATCGCCTTCCGCCGCTACCGGGACCTCTGCGCGATCGCGTGACGGCTGCCGCGTGGGCGGCGCCGGGCGGCGGGGCGGGCGGCGGGGCGGGCGGCCCGTGTCGCGTAGCAGCGGGGACGCGGAGGCGGCGCCATGGCGGAGGCGGCGGCGGCGGAGCAGGCCCGGGAGGAGGCCGCGGCCGGCGCCGAGGAGGCCGTGAAGATCATCTGCCTGGGCGACAGCGCCGTGGGCAAGTCCAAGTGTGTGGCCGCGCCGGTCCCCGCCGCCCGGCCGGGCCTCGCGGGAGGGGAGGGGGCCGCGGCCTCACCCTGCGCCGTTCTCTTTCCGCAGGCTGCTGGAGAGGTTCCTGCTCGACGGATTGTATCCACGCGCCGCGCCGCTCGGGACCCTCCATTCCCAGTCGTGCCGCCGGGGCCGCCCCTCAGCCGGCCGGGCGGTGGGGAGGGGCGGGGCGGGGGCGAGGGCGGCGGCGGGCGTGGCGGGGTCCGGCCCGGGGAGCTGCGGCGGCCCGGTGCCGGCGGTCGCTGCGCGGTGAGGGGAGGTGCACCTCCGTCGGCTCCTTAACGCGGTCGCAGCCGCCCCCAGCAGCTCTCCACCTTCGCCCTGACGCTGTACAAGCACCGCGCTCGCGTGGACGGGAAGCCGGTCCTAGTGGGTAAGCGGGGAGTGCCCTGGCCGGGGATCCGCGGGGACGGGGCGGTGCCGGCTCTGTGGAGAGAGGGGGACGCCGAGGGTGCTGCTGGCATACGCAGCGGTACGGAGACCCAAAAATACGGCAGGGGAGGTGCTTGCAATGGGCAAAGAGATGCCAAATGGCAATTTGTAGAAGTCAGGGAAATGGGAGAATGAAAGAATCAGAATCACAGAATTGCAGTGGTTTCACACTGATAAACAGGCAAGCTGCACTGTGCCCCTCTGTCACTCCCCCTTCTAACAGAAGTCCCTTCAAAGCACAAACAGTTTGTGGTTCTGTGTAACAGGTTTACATTGCAAGGTTTTGGTAGCTGGGGGAAGGGATGGGACACAAAGGGGTGGCTTCTGTGGGAAGAGCTGAGAAGCTACCCCATGTTAGATAAGAGCCAGTTTCAGCTGGCTCCAAAAGGGACCTGCCGCTGGCCAGAGCTCAGCCAATGAGCAATGCTAGTTGTGCCTCTGGAAGAGCAGATTTAAGAAAGGAAAAAAACTGCTGTGCTACAGCAGCTGGGAGAGAGGAGTGAGACAAAGTGAGAGAAACAGCCTTGCAGACACTAAGGTCAGTGAAGGAGGGGAAGAAGTGCTCCAGGTGCTGGGGCAGAAGATACTCGGAAGCTCATGGAGGACCATGGTGGAGCAGGCTGTCCCCCTGCAGCCTATGGTGTACTGATCTCCATGGTGTAGCAGATCTCCATGGTGGAGCAGACTCTAGGCTGGAACTGCAGCCTTCAGAGAAGAGCCCCCATTGGATCAGGAGGCCTGGTGGGAGCTGCTGCCCATGGTACAGACCCATACCGGACCAGTTCTTGAAGAACTGCAGGCTGCAGGAAGCCTAGGATCATTTCAAGAAGTATGCATCCCATGGGAGGGACCCCATGCTGGGGGACAGGGGAGGACAGTGAAGACAAAGGAATGGCAGAGAGGAAGTGTTATGGACTGAATGCAACCCCCACTCCCCCTTCCCCTGCACAGCTCAGGAGGAAGATGTAGAAGAGGGTGGATGGTGGGGGAACGTGTTTTTAATTTGGTTTTAGTTCTCACTGCTGTAATTTGTTAGCAGTAGGCAATAAGGTTACATTAATCTTCCCGTGGTGAGTCTGTTTTGCCCATGATGGTAATTGGTGAGCAAACTCCTTGTCCTTATCTGAACCCACAAGCCTTTTTTCATCACATTTTCTCCCCTTGTTCGTTTGAGGAAGGGAGTGAGAGAGTGGCATGGTAGAGCTTAGCTGTCCATTAGTATGAAAGCACTGAACTTCTGTACTGCTGCTTGTGTCACTACAATTTCTGCATTTTCAGAAACCACAGCTCTGAAAGGGACTGTGAGATGTCATCTAGCACATCTCTATACAGGGGAAATTCTTTACTTAATGACACTCTTCACGGATACTTACCTATTTCATTTAGTCAAAGACTTTTAACGATTAAGACTGCTCAGGTCATCTATTCCAATATACATGTCCTTACTGCTAGAAAACTTCTTGACACTCAGTGTGAATCTTCTCTATCCAAGGTAAAACAGTTATTTTCTATGTTTCCTGGGCACTAAAAAAGTTTCTTCCCCTTTCTGCTTGCATCAGTTTTCCACATGTTTGAGTGTTGTAGCTTTTCCCTTTATTTCTTCTCTCTTTTAGGCTAAATAACCTCAGTTTATTCTGCCTTTTTCACAGGATAGATCTCTGATGATTCTTGATGCTTCCTCTGAATTCTGTTCAGTTGGTTCATGACTGAAATATGGTTTACAAAATTAGAGATGATCCTTCATCAGACTTGCTAGTGTATATCATTGCTTTGAGTTAGGAAATGCTGCAATTCTTACACAACCAGTATCTGTAGTATAAGACAGCACAAAGTTTCCTTTTTCTGTTTGAGTTTGGCCAGAACCTCCATGTACATCCATTTTTGCCTGATTTCCTCCTTGTTGGAATGCATTGCTTCTGAGCTTGGAGGAGGTGATCATTGAATATTAACCAGCTTTCTTGGGCTCCTCTTCTTTCCAGGACTTTCTCCCATAGTACTCTACGAAGCAGATCCCCGAAAAGGGCAAAGTCTGTTTCTCACAAAGTCCAGGGTAGCAAGCTTGCTGTGCTCCCTCCTTGCTGCTCTCTGGATCCAAAACTTCACCATTTCACAGTCACTGCAGCCAAGCCTGCCCTTGAGTTTCACATTCTCCACCAGCCCCTCCTTGTTGGTGAGAATGAAGTCTGGCAATGCACCTCTCCTCAGGGGCTCTTTTGTCACTTGGAGAAGGAAGTTGTCATCAATGCATTCCTAAAACCTCCTGGATTGCCTATGCCCTGCTGTGCTGTCCCTCCAACAGATAATGTGGCGGTTGAAGTCCCCCATGAGAACCAGGGCTTGTGAAAGTGAGGCTGCTTCTATCTGTCTATAGAGGACCTCATCTGCTTGGTCTTCCTGATCAGGTGGCCTGTAGCAGACTCCCTCTATAATGTCACCTGTCCCTGCCCTCCCTGTAATCCTGACCCATAAGCTCTCAGCTCCTCATTCATCCCCAGGCAGAGCTCCATCACTCCAGCTGCTGATTGACATGGAGGGTGATGCCTCCCCCTTGCCTCCCCTGCCTGCCCTTCCTGAAGAGCCTGTATCCTTCTATTAACACTCCAGTCATGGGAGCCATCCCATGGTCTCCATAAAGCCAATGAAGTCATAGCCCTGAAGGTGTGCACTCTCCAGTGTTATTGGTCTCACTCCCTTCAGTGAGTGACAGTGAGGGAGTTTTGGGCTGTTTTGCTGTGTGCTGAGTCCCCTGCAGACTGTGCTAGGATCCAACTACCCAACTCCTCAGCCTCCCTGATGCTACGCAGCCTTCTCACTGCCTACTGCAGCTCAGCCAGCCGGTGCTGGAGGTCTTCCTACCTTTTGCAGGCAGTTCTGCCACCTGTGCCTGCCCCAAGGGAAAGATCTAGGCTTTTCATGCAGTCAGAAGTCTGCACTGCAGCCTCACCTTTCAGTAGCTCTGTCTTGGTGGAAGCATCATCCTCTGCTAGGGCAGACAGCACAGACTGCGCAGCCAGACCCACGGCCTTTGCCCTGAGACAAGTGCCCACCATTCTGCCCTGAGGATCAGGCAAGGTGAGCACCCGTGGCCTGTGCAGATGGGCAGGGAATAGAGCCTGACTGCAGGGTTAAGGTGTTCTCAATGCCTCCCACTCAGCCAGTGGAATGGGGCACCCTCCTGCGCCAACTGCCACACTGTGCTCCTGAGGGGCTGCTTATGGGGGTGTGAGGGGTGGCTGCTGTCACTGCTGGCCTGCCCACACCTTGGCAGCTGCTCTCACCCCAGCTGCTAGCCCCCAGCAGGTCTCTGTACTCCCCCGGGGCTTCCCTGGCTCAGGAAACACCCTTGTATGATGCATACAGAACATGCCTGCCTGGAGCTGATCGCCTAAGTGAGTGCAAGTGAGGATTCTGGAATGGCACATTGAAAGAATCAAGCAATTTTAGAAGCTAAGCAAAACTACCCATTCATTTGAATGAATGCAAATATAGTCTGTTGAATACTTGCCTATATTTTGGGCAGTTTAAGAAGTTACCATTCAGAAAGTCAGATACAGTATCTACTCAGAAACTAACCTGTCTTGCAATACAAAGTAGACACTAAGGTTCCCTTAGTGGAACCTTATTCCCAGTTACTGGCATAATAGTCTTTATGGAGACTGGTGTGCTTCAGTCTAGCTGACAGCATAACTACATCTAGTGGTTCTTACTTGAAGCTGCATAAATTTATACAACATATAAGACACAAATTTTAGCCCATAAATCCAGCAAAAGGAGGGTGAAAAATCTCTACTTGAGGCACACAAACAGAAAATGGCATTAAAATATTGATGACTGTTCAGGTATGCTTCATGATACCTAGTATACAAGGTACTTAATGAATTGGGACCCATCTGTCTCAGGCTAACTTCAAAATTTTAGAAGCAGTTGTGCCCTTGGAAGGAGCAGATTCAGACTGTCTGGGAGACAGTCAATGGAACATTTCATTTAGCAGGCACCTGGCTAACACAGATTTACACAGATGTAAGAAATCAAGCTGTCTCAAGACATTTGGATATTTTTTTCTATTGCCGTCTCTAGTGACAAAGTACCATACGTTGTTACTACTCTTTTCTCCTTTGACTAGCTTTATCTTATTGTTCTTATCTGATGACTTCTCTTTTGCTAGAATGTTTATACCAATGGTGCAGCTAAGAAAATATCCTAGTTTTGCATGATTTCTTGGTACTGGAATGTTTCAGATTAGTGAGGTGAAACCTAATGTGTGACCCTGAGTAGATAGGCAGGTCCCCCTGTACTCGGCTCTGGTGAGGCCGCACCTCGAGTACTGTGTTCAGTTTTGGGCCCCTCGCTACAAGAAGGACATCGA